CCCCCCCCACACGTGTCCTCCCTTTAGACCCCCCCAAATCTGTCTCGCGACACCCCCCAAAAACCGCTGCCCCCCCCTCCCGGACCCCGCGGTCCCTCCGGCCGGGCCCCGCTCACCTGCGGCCCGAGCGGAGCCGAACGCGGCCGAACGGAACCGAACGGTGCCGAACTCGGCCGAACTGGGACGAACGGTGCCGAACCGGAGCCGAACGGAGCCGAGCGGAGCCGAACTGGGACGAACGGAGCCGAACGGAGCCGGACCGGCCCGAAGGTTTCCGAACGTCCCCGAAGGTCCCCGAGCGGAGCCGAACCGGTCCCGAAGGTGACCGAAGATGCCCGAGCGGGGTCGACGGGGGCGCGCGGAGACACGAGGAGGGGGCGGGGGATCCCCCTCATTAGGACCCCGGAGACCCCCCAGAGACCCCTCAGAGACCCCCGCAGAGCCCCTCATACACCCCCTATAGACACCCAGAGACCCCCAATAGACCCCCCCCATAGGTCTCGCCCCGTGGGGGGTTTCGAGACACACGAGAAGGGGGATTTGGGGATCTCCTCCCTCCGGAGGTCCCGGGACTCATCTGAGGGAATGTTTGGGGGTCTCTCCTCCCTCAGGGGGGTCTCTGAATTGTGTCAGGGGAGTCCAGGTGCTTTAGTTCTTCCAGCGTTCCCTGGTGGTCTAGTGGTTAGGATTCGGCGCTCTCACCGCCGCGGCCCGGGTTCGATTCCCGGTCAGGGAACAAAGACGGTAATTTTCGTTCAGTTTTTCCTCCTTCTAATTTCCATTTTTCCCTCTTCCTCTTTCCTCACTCGCCAAACTCCTTTACTCTAATAATTAATAGATTTTTAAAATAAATATGATGCAGAGTATATATAATATACATGATATACTATATAATGTCTATCTCTTAGTGGCCTCATTAGCCAGCATCGTGCATGTAACAAATGTGGATAGAGCCCTTCCCAGATCTTCGTTCGCGAAGCCCAGCCACGATGGTGATGATATAACGTATAACATAAAAATACATTAAAAAGATATGTTATACTATAATATTAAGGAAATATTTATAGTATTTGTAATATTGCTAAAGGATTTGTAATATATTATTATTTATAATAAAAATATTTAAATGCATTAAAACATAAAAGTGCATTAAAAAGCCATGAAAATACATAAAACCTCCATAAAGCCTCCAGAAAAAATACATTAAAATACCCTAAAATCCATAAAAAAAAATAAAAATACATAAAAGCCCATAAAAACACATAGAAAAAAGGGGGAGGAGGTTAAAAGCCAATGCTGTCTGTCGCGACACAGGCGGAGGCACCGCTGGGATTCGAACCCAGGATCTCCTGTTTACTAGACAGGCGCTTTAACCAACTAAGCCACGGCGCCGGCGCTGCCCAGTCCCACATCAGAGACCATCAGACCCCCTGACCCCTCCCCTCCTCTTCCCCCCGCGAGATTCGGGATCCCCGAGAAGGGAGACCCCCAAAATCCCCACATACACACACACGTGTCCCGGAACCCCCTGAGGAGGGAAACCCTTCCCAAAAAACCCTTTTCCCACTCCCATCCTTGTCCCGGTACCTGCCCGAGGGTGGAGAAGCCCCCAAAAAACCCCTTTACAACCCCAGAAAAGGGGAGGAAATGGGGAGGGAGGACAATGAGGAAAATTAAAGAGGGAAAAAAGGGACGTTAGGAAAAAATAGGGGGGAAAAAAATAAAAAATTGAAAATTAGGGGAGGAAAGAAGGAAATCAGGGAGAGGAAAAAACGGACTTAGCAGAGGATGGTTTCGATCCATCGACCTCTGGGTTATGGGCCCAGCACGCTCCCGCTGCGCCACTCTGCTGCTGCAAAGCTACCTTCTAATTACTTTTAATGAATTATAATTACTTAAAGCGAGGCAGAAAGTGAGAGCAGTTTAAAATAAATACACAATTTATCGCATGTTATTATACATGTACATATATAGATTGATTGATTGATTTAACCACTTAATTAATTTATTTATTTATTATCTTTTTCTTTTATCTAAATTTTCATTCAAATTTATCTAATTAATTAATTTAATTTATTCATTTAATTTAATTAATTTAATTTATTTGTTTAACCTCTTTATTCCTTTTATTTATTTATTTTTATTTACTTATGTTATTCTTTTAATTTGTTTATTTAATTTATTCATTTCATGTGTTTATTCATTTTTTAAAATGTATTTAAAACACTCCCCGTTTCCCCGAGTTGGCTCCCCCGGGATTCGAACCCCGATTTCCGGGGTGGATAAACCACGCCCACAGCACGCCCTCTGATAGGAGACCGCGCCCCTGTTCACGCCCCTTTCGCTGAAGCCACGCCCCTCTAGCAGCGAGATGGGCGCGGGGCGCGAGTGCGCAGCCGCGGACGAGGTGGCCGAGTGGTTAAGGCGATGGACTGCTAATCCATTGTGCTCTGCACGCGTGGGTTCGAATCCCACCCTCGTCGCTTCCCACGTTTTTGGGGGGGTTTCCCAAAACCGCCCTCTTGCGATTAAGGTTCGTTTTTCGGGGGATCTGCAGCAAATCCCGTCCCTTTTCCCTCCTTTTACATCATTTTTTCCATCCTTTTTCATCCTTTTCTCACCCTTTTTAAATCATTTTCCAGCCTTCTCCCACCCTTTCTCCATCATTTTTCCTCCCTTTTCCCCTTTTTCCCACCCTCTTCCCACCTTTTTCCCCCCAAGAGCCCCAAACAGGTAAAAACAGGTTAAAAAAAGGCAAAAACCAGGGAATTTTATTCAACTCCCCTTTTGGGGGGGTCCCCAGGTATTCCCAGCTCATTTCCAGGTGCTTCCATTCCATTCCCAAGTGTTCCCATCCCATTTCCAGACATTTCTATCCCACTTCCAGGAGTTCCATCCCATTCCCAGATATTCCCAGCCCATTTCCAAGTGGTTTGGACCCATTTCCAGATGTTTTTATCCCACTTCCAAGAGGTTTCATCCCATTCCCAGGTATTTCCAACCCATTCCCAAGTGTTTCATTCCCACTTCCAGGTACTTTTATCCCATTTCCAGGTGTTTCCAGCCCATTCCAGGTGTTTCCAGCCCATGTTCGGGTATTTCTGTCCCATTCCCGGGTGTGTCCAACTCACTCCCAGGTTCTTCCAACCCACTTCCAGGTGTTCCAGACCCATTTCCAGATGTTTCTGACCCATATGCAGGTGTGTCTGACCAATCTCCAGGTGTTTCTATCCCATCCCCAGGTGCTTCCAGTTCATTGCCAGGTGAGTCAGACCCATCTCCAGACCCATATCCAGGTGTGTCCAACTCATTCTCAGGTGTTTCAGTCCCATCCCCAGCTGTGTCTATCCCATTTCCAGGAGCGTCTGACCCATATCCAGGTATGTCTGATCCATCCCCAGCTGTGTCTGACCCATATCCAGGTGTGTCTGATCCATCCTCAGGTCTGTCTGACCCATATCCAGGTATGTCTGATCCATCCCCAGCTGTGTCTGACCCATATCCAGGTGCGTCTATCCCATCTCCAGCTGTCTCTGACCCACTCCCAGGTACTTCTAACTCATCCTCAGGTGTGTCCAGCCCATCTCCAGGTGCTTCTCTCCCACATGCAGGTGTGTCCGACCCATCCGCAGGTGTGTTGAATCCATCCTCAGGTGTGTCTGACCCATCCCCAGGTGTGCCTGCCCCGCTCCCACCCCCCTCAGGCCTCCCCGCCTGCCCTCCCCAGCACCTGTCCAGGTACCTGTTCACCTCCCCGGCGTGGCTTCGCCTGTCGGGCTCCAGCCGGAGGAGCCTCCGGAGCATCTCCAGCGCCGCCTCCCCCAACCCCTGCCAGGCGCGCGGCACCTCCCCCCCGCCGGTGAGCCCACCTGGCTGCCAGGTGCGGCCCTGCCACACCTGGAACTCCCCGAACTGGGGATCCGGGGGCGCAGCCACCCCCCAGGGGAAGGTGCCGGTGAGGAGGGCGAAGAGGAGGACGCCGAAGGCCCAGGCGTCCAGGCTGGGCTCCAGGTGCAGCGTCTCCGCCTCGCGCAGGTGGCACAGCTCAGGTGCGGCGTAGGGGGCGTGGCCCGAGCCACAGGTGGGCCCCACCTGCCAGCCCATGACACGGGTGAGGCCGAAGTCGCCCAGTTTGACCAGTTGGCACTGGGGGTCGAAGGCCAGCACGTTGTCCAGCTTCACGTCTCGGTGCACCAGGGCGTGGCCGTGCAGGTAATCCAGGGCCGCGCCCACCTGGGTGGCCACGCGCTTCACCTGCGGCTCAGGAAGGCCCACCTGAGGAGGGGAGGACACGCCTGGTGGGACACAGGGTCACCCAATGTCACCTGGGGTCACCTGAGGTCACCTATGGTCACCTGGAGTCATCATTTGGGGCACCTGTGGGGTCACCTGTGAGTGCAGGGGTTCACCTGGGACTCAGGGAGACTCACCTGGGGAGGGGGGGACACACCTGGGGTCACCTAGTGTCACCTTGGATCACCTGTGGGGTCACCTATGAGTGCAGGGGTTTACCTTGTGCTCGGGGAGCCCACAAAGGTCCCAGGCAGGTGCATCCCTCACACCTGTCCCCCCCCCAAACACACCTGTGCCCACTCCAGACACATCTGAGCACTCACCCCAGGTGTGAGCAGCCCACACAGGTCCCCGGCAGGTGCGTGTTCCTGCGCGAAGCCGAAGTGGGTGGGGGTCTCGAAGGCCAGGGGCAGCACCTGCAGGCAGGTGAGCTGCCCCCGCAGGCACAGGTGGGTGCAGAACTCCCGCAGGAAGCCCCACCTGCCCGTCCGGTCCTTCCGCAGCAGCTTCAGCACCACCGGCGCACCTGGGCAAGGGTGGGGACACACCTGGGCACACCTGGAGATGGGTTATACCCCCAGAGACACACCTGGGTACACCTGGGGATGGGTTATACCCTCATAGACACACCTAGGCACACCTGAGGATGGGTTATACCTCTTATAGACACACCTGGGCACACCTGGGGGCACCTGGGCACACCTGGGGACAGGTTACCCCACCCCATAGACCACCTCCGAGCCCCTTGGATCTCCCAGGTGTGTTTGGGGGCAGAGCCTGAAGTGTGTCAGTGTGTCAGGTGCTCACCTGGTGCACAGGTACCCAGAAATCCCCCCTCCCTGAGCCCCCCCAAGCCCTCCCGGTACCCCCCCAGCCCCTCACCCCCATCCCGGGGCTGTGCCAGCACCACGTGCCCATAGGAGCCACTGCCCAGTTCTCCCAGTACGTCCCAGTCCCGCTCCAGTTGGCACTGGGGGAGGTCCCGCCCTGTTTGAACCATCAGGTGCTGCAGGAGCCTCTCCTGGGCCTCCCCCTCCTCCTCCTCCTCCTCCTCTTCCTCCTCGGCCGCTGCTTCCATGGGCCCTGGGGACCAGTATGGACCAGTATGGACCAGTTCACTCCAATACAGCCCAGCCCAGTTTAATCCTCATCCTCCTCACCTTCATCTTCATCCCCCTCCTCCTCCTCTGGGGCAGCCCACTATAGACCAGTACAGACCAGTACAGTCGATATCAGCCCAGCTCAGATCATTCCATTCCAGTCTGTCCCAGTCGAACCCAGTTCAGTCCAGTATAACCCAGTTGAACCCAGTCCAGCCCAGTATAGCCCAATTCAACCCAGTCCAGCCCAGTATAACCCAGTTCAACACAGTACAGCCCAGCTCATCCCAGTCCATCTCCATATAACCCAGTCCATTCCAGCCCATCCCACTCCATCCCAGTATAACCCAGTCCATTCCAGTTCACCCCAGTCCACCCCAATCCATCCCAGTACAATTCAGCCCATCCCAGTCCTGCCCAACATCCAGGTCTCCCCCCCCATCACCTGCCCTCAGGTACCACCTGTCCCCCCAACCCACCTGTCCCCGCCCCCTCCGCCCCCCTGCCCCCCCCCGGTGCCACCCCTCCTGCCGGTGTCCCCAGGGGTGGCCCCGGTGTCTCACCTGTGTCCCCCAGTGGGTCAGGGGGTGTCAGTGCCCCCCCAGGTGCCCCCCCAGGTGCCCCCCCCCAGGTGCCCCCTCGGCGGCCCCTGCGGTTGTGACTCAGAGTTTCCCGTGCCCGCGGTGCCACCCGGGCCCCGCTAATCTCTGTCACCTGCGTGTGGGGACACGTGTGTGTCACCCACGGCCAAAGATGGGCACGGGGGGGGGGGACAGAGGGACACTGGGACAAGGGGGGGCGACAGAGGGGGCACGGGGACATGGAGGACATGAGGGGGACAAGGGGGGACATGGGGGGGACAGAGGGGACAGAGGGACAAGGGGGACCTGGAGGGGACACGGGGGTGACATGGGTGTCATGGGGACATGGGGGGGGCTTGGGGGCCATGGGGGGACATCGAGGGGACACGGGGGGCCATGGGGGGACAAAGGGACAAGGAGGAGACAGAGGGACAGGTTGGGGGACAGTGTCTCCAGTGTCTCCAGTCCCCCAGTGCCCCCCCCCCCCCAGTGTCACCAGTGCCCCCCAGTGCACTGAAACTCCCCCCCAGTGCCTCCCAGTATATCCCAGTATACCCCAGTATCTTCCAGTCTCTCCCACTATATCCCAGTGCCCCCCAGTCCCTCCCAGTGCCCCTGGTGACGGTGCCACTGGTGCCACCGGTGCCACCTGGCCCTGTCCCCCCCCCCCCGGCTATTTCGGGTCCCCCCGCACCTGTCCCTGCCCTTCCCCACCCCGGGCCCCCCGCCAGACCCTCCCCCACCCCGAGGGGACACAGCGGGGGCTCAGGGCACTGGGAGGCACTGGGAGAAACTGGGAGGTACTGGCAGGTACTGGGAGGGAGTTCAGTGCACTGGGAAGAGACTGGGATGGACTGGGGGGAACTAGGGGGCGCTGAAAACGGATTTGGGGACACTGGGAGGGACTGGGAGGGACTGGGGGGCACTGGGAAGGGGTTTCAGTGCACTGGGCTGTACTGGGCTGTACTGGGCTGTACTGGGCTGTACTGGGAGGTGCCGGGGCCGGGCCAGGTGTTGCCGGGGGGGAATTTGGGGGGTCGTGACCCCCCCCGGGAGCAGCTGTTCACTAACGAGCTGCCGGGGGTTAATTACCAGCAGGGGATGATTAATTGCCCTCGGCGGGTGATTAATGAGCCCCCGGGAATGATTAATCGCCCTCGGCAGGGGGTATTAATTACCCGCGGGGGGGAGGAAGGGATTAATGAGCCCCCGCGGGGTCACGGCCCCGACAGGTGACACCGACAGGTGGGGAGGGGGAGGGAAGGGGACACCGCAGGGGGAGGGGAGGGACTGGGGGGCACTGGGAGGGGGAGGAGAGTGACTGGGAAGGGGTTGGGAGGGACTGGGATATACTGGGAGGAACTGGGATGGACTGGGAGGGAGTTTCAGTGCAATGGAAAGGGAGTGAGATATACTGGGAGAGACTGGGAGGGAGTTTCAGTGTACTGGGAAGGGACTGGGAGACACTGGGAGGGGGGCCTGGAGGGACTTGGAGTTTGAGTGCACTGGGAAGGGACTGGGATATACTGGGAGGCACTGGAATGGACTGGGAGGGGGTTTCAATCCACTGGGGGGCACTGGGAGGGGGCTGGGAGGGAGTGGGGCCATACTGGGGGGATACTGGTGGTAAGTTGGGCCATACTGGGAGTCAGCTGGGCTTTACTGGGGCCATACTGGGAGTCAGTTGGGCTGTACTGGGGCGATACTGGAGCCATATTGGGACTCAGTGGGGCCATACTGGGGCCAGTTGGGTTGTACTGGGGGATACTGGGACCATACTGGTCACGTCCCATGACCCCTATGGAGCCCATGGCCACGCCCCCAACATGACCACGCCTCCTCAAGGCCCCACCCCTAAGGATGAGACACACTGGGGGGGGGAGGGGCACCTTTATTGACAAGGGGACACAGGTAACACCCCTCCCCCCGCCAGGTACCCTCACATACCCCCTCACCTGGGGCACTGCCCCCCCGAGGTGCCCCCTCACCTGCAGGCACAGGTAGGCAGATGCTCCCCCCAGCACCTCCAAGGTTTCCAGGTGGGCACTGGGCACCTCCTCAGGGGGTTCCAGGTGGGCACTGGGCACCTCCAAAGTCTCCAGGTGGACATTTGTCACCTCCTCCGTGGGCTCCAGGTGGGCACTGGGCACCTCCATCACCTCCAGGTGGGCATTGGGCACCTCTGAGGTCTCCAGGTGGGCACTGGGCACCTCCTCAGGGGGTCCCAGGTGGGCACTGGGCACCTCCAAGGTCTCCAGGTGGACATTTGTCACCTCCTCGGGGGGTTCCAGGTGGGCACTGGGCACCTCTGGTGTCTCCAGGTGCACAGAGGGCACCTCCAAGGTTTCCAGGTGGGCACTGGGTACTTCCTTGGGGGTCTCCAGGTGGCCATTGGGCATCTCTGATGTCTCCAGGTGAGCACTGGGCACCTCCAAGGTTTCCAGGTGGGCGTGGGGCACCTCCATCATCTCCAGGTGGGCACTGGGCACCTCCGTGCCGAGTTCCAGGGCCACAGGGGGCACCTCCAAAGTCTCCAGGTGGGCACTGGGCACCTCTGAGGTCTCCAGGTGCACAGGGGGCACGTCCAAGGTTTCCAAGTGGGCAGTGGGCACCTCCTCCATGGTCTCCAGATGGACACTGGTCACCTCAGGTGGCGGTGGCAGCACCTGGAGCTGGACATTGGTCACCTGGGAGGGCGGTGGTATCGCTTGGAGCTGGACTTTGGTCACCTCAGCGGCCTGGAGATGGACATTGGTCATCTCAGGTGGTGGTGGCAGCACCTGGAGCTGGACATTGGCCACCTCACCTGCTTGGAGCTGAACACAGGTGACACCTGAGGGTGGTGGCTGTGCCTGGAGCTGGACATTGGTCACCTCAGGGGGCGGTGGCAACACCTGGAGCTGGACATTGGCCACCTCACCTGCTGGGAGCTGGACACAGGTGACATCCAGGGGTGGTGGCAGCACCTGGAGCCGGACTTTGGTGACCTCAGGTGGTGGTGGCAGCACCTGGAGCTGCACTCTGGTGACACCTGAGGGTGGTGGCAGCGCTTGGAGCTGGACATTGGTGACCTCAGGTGGTGATGGCAACACCTGGAGCTGGACTTTGCTAACCTCGGAGGGCGCCGGCAGCACCTGGAGCTGCAGCCCTGTGACACCTGGCACCCCTGTCACACTTGTGACACCTGTGACACCTGTCACTCCTGTCACACCTGTCACCCCTGTCACCCCTGTCATACCTGTCACCCCTGTCATTCCTGTCATACCTGTCACCCCTGTCACCTCGGTGGCCTGGAGCTGCACCCCTGTGACACCTGCAACACCTGTCACACCTGTGACACCCGTCACACCAGTAATAGCTGGGACACCTAGGACACTTGTCACCCCTGCCCCCTCTGTCACACCTGTTACCTCCCTGCCCTGCACCTGGACATTGGTGACCTCCGGCAACACCTGGAGCTGCACACCTGGCACACCCGTGACACCTGGCACCCCTGCCACACCTGTCACCTCAGTGGCCTGGAGCTGCACACCTGGCACACCTGGCACACTTTTGACACCTGTTACCCGGGTCACACCTGCCACACCTGTCACACCTGTCCCCTCCCCCCCCCGCACCTGGACATTGGTGACCTCCGGCAACACCTGGAGTTGCACACTTGGAACACCTGTAACACCTGCCACACCTGTCCCACCTGCCACACCTGTGACCCCTGATACACCTGGAGCACCTGTGACCCCTGCCACACCTGTCACCTCGGTGGCCTGGAGGAGTTGTACACCTGCCATGCCTGCCCCACCCGTCACACCTGTGACCCCTGCCACACCTGTCACACCTGTCGCCATCCCTGCCGCCTCAGCCACCTGTACCTGCACACCTGCAGGCCCCATCCCACCCCTCAGCACAATCACACTCGTCCCCGCCCCCTCCTGTCCCGCCCCAGGGGGCACCACCAGGACGCCCTGCCAGGCGTGCGGCCCCTTCCCCACCTGCGCCACCTGGGCAGGCTTGGTGGGGCCAGGTAGCAGTAGTACCTTGCGGGGGGTGGCGGGCGGGAGGGGCGGCCCCCCCCGCAGCAGCAGACAGGCCGGGGGGTGCGGCTCAGGCGCACGGTGGGTGCGCAGGTGGCGCTGCAGGTAGGCGGCCACCACGAAGGCCTTGGGGCAGGCGGGGCAGCGGAAGGGCCGTGCGGCCGAGTGGGTGCGGCGGTGCAGGTGCAGGTTGGAGGAGTGGGTGAAGCTCTTGCCGCAGGTGCCGCAGGTGTAGGGCCGCTCCCCCGTGTGCACCCG